AAATTGCACTTTCCAGTAAAATGACAACTCATCGTATTGTTCAATACATGTTTTAATCGTATAATTCAATGTGAGGGACTGGACCACTGGGTCTAGCAACAGGATTTGTTAGAGAAATGTGGTTTCTCATTTATTTACAGTATTTGTGTGTTTTACATTGTTGTGTTTACATTGGAGTTTTCTCCTGTGTTGATAAATTAAGAAAAGTGGAAGGTCATTAAGTGTTAAACAGTGTTTAAATTTGGCTTGGTTTCTCCTAGTATTTTTAGGTCCTCAGAATTATTGATAAGTATCAATATGATCAAGTCATAATGTGATATATTTTTCAGCCATATTGCCCGGGCCTACTGTATATTTTTTGAAAGACTCTGGTGGACTCTCATTATCTTGTTATAAAATGAAAATAATAAAATTTGGTGGTTATTTCTGGTGTTTTTTCTATTTTGTTTGGCAAGTATTAGAATATTATGTGAAAGTCATTCACATCCTTAAGAGTATCAATGGTCATGGTTGCCTAGATCCCTTTGGTACCCCAATGTTGTAGGTTGTAACCCAGGCCAACTGAAAGCCAAATGGCCTAGGTCTAGGCACTCTTAGACTTGTGTAGTCTAAAAATATACCATGAAATGCTCTTTAGACTACAATAATACACAAAATATTTTATTATTCCCAAAATAATATTTTAGTTAGATCTTATATCAAAATATATTCAACCATTTCAACCATGAATTTTGCTTTAAATCCAAAATGTGTCTATAAAGTAATAGGCTATATGCCACATAGGCAAGTCCTAGTTTCTGGTTTTAGGTAGTTCAGCCACTCTGAGCTGAATGCAGGTTCACTTGTGAGGGCCCTGCAAGGCAGGGTGGCTTTGAATGAATGTAGGTATTGCCCATCTACAGAATGCTACCCCTAAACCCACCAGAATGCAGAAAATCACATCTACCACTATCCATCTCCAGCAGGCACCCCAAAAATCTGTTAGGATGTGGGGGATCAGGATCACATCTACCAAATCAGTTGACAAACAAAAATTGAATGTGTAGGCCTAAATGACAAAATTGTGGGCGGCCCTGCTGAATCTCACTCCAAGGTTTTTGTTAATTTGGCAGCCCTGTATATGTCACACTAGAGGCTGACGTTGTTGTGTTACATGTCATGCCTGTCCCACCTCTTTTGCCTCTGTGATGCTGGCATGCTGTCTAAAATCACACACTGGAGCTGCATACCACCACTGTTTGGTTTTGTGTAAAATTGCAAAGGAAGCATAAAGAAGGGAGTTTATAGCACTCTATCTGTAGGGCTCTATAGCGCTATCTCTGTGTAAAAGGGCTATGGACTGTCTATGGTCCCAGTGGCTAATAATGGTAGCTAAAAGCCAATTAAGCAAATACAGCCCTGTATTTTAACATTTAAATAACTTGTAATATTTAAATTAGCATTTTCTAAAATGTTTTTGCAGAGCTCCAGCTTGCTGCTGGGCTATCCATGACTGTAGCCTATTAACAACCGGACTAAGCTTCATTTGTGGCTTCAGCATCAGTGTGTTCAATGTTAATCGAGAAATAATAAACCAAAAGAACACATGACATAGCAGAGAAGAAATACATAAGAATTTGCAGAGAATGACAGATTTGTCACTATGTGTACATGATATCCCTGTTTACTGTCTGACTGTATTCTCAACCCACCTGATTTTATATAAAATAAACTGAATTCTGTGTTAAACATTCAGTCTCCTTGAAAGTGACTTACTGATTTATTGTATTTCTTTCATATCATATAAAGTGAATGAAAGCCTAAAGTTAATTATTTTACTCCTACTTTATATTACTGGTATTACTGAAATCTGCTGCTAAATTTGGAGTCATATTTTACTCAGTCGAACTCAGATTTCATAAATCAGCAGTTACAAAAATGTGTAAACCGTGTCTTTAAGGCAGACAGGTGCAGCATTAGCTGGGAAACATCATGTAAATTCACTTAAGTTAAAATTAAGTCAGAATTACGTTTATGTTTAATGTTGGCTGTCTGTTTATGAGCTGTCCAAAATTATAAATCTTCTTTTGAAAGGAGTAGATGTGTACTGAATGCTAGCTTAAGTTCTGTTAAATTTAAGTTTATGTTAACATAGCAAGGCAAGCTAATTGCTAATGTGCTTGATTAAAAAGAAAAACAAACAATGCTTTAAGATGGCTGTCACAGATGACAGAGGTATGATCACATTTTCCTGTCTGAAGTCTAACAGGTTATGTATACCAGTCATGTATTCCACGCTTTACTTCCCAATCACTTAGCTACCATTAGCTTAGTGTTACCAAAAACACTAGAAAACACTAGTGCTATGTCTCAAATTGTGTACTTCTATACTTAAACTTAATATTTTGAGTGCATAAGTGCGTTCACACTGTGAAGTATGGAAAAATGCAGTGCACTATGAGTACCCCAATGGTGCACTCAAAACGGTCAAGGAGTTGAGTGTGGAACTATGGACACTTATCGCCCTCAATGGTCGCCATCTTTGCTACTTAGCCGAAGGGGAGGGACCACTTTTCAAACTGGAAATGGCGGCTGAGGATTGTGCGACCGTGAACGTTGCTGCATTGTACAAATATACATGTGTGTTTTGCGCTAAGCACCCCTATACTGTTGTCGGATATAAGCCAGCAGTATGTTTACTGGTGTAATTTACTAGTCTGTAATGATTTGGTACCACGAACGATAATGCAAATGCTGATGCTAGTTTGCTAACCAGCTAACAGCTGCGGTCGTCATTTCCAGTAAGTGCACAACGGCAGTGTTTGGTTTGAGACAACACTACCCTGCCGAAATTCGCACACTACTCCAATAAGTACATAGTGCACATAGTATACTACATGGAAGTGTACTAACGAAGTACGCCATCTGAGACACAGCACAGTTCTGGTTCAGCCCCAGAAGTCAGGCCCATAATTCACGCAAGGTATCATGGGAGTTAGGAATAAGGTGGATAAACATAGATAATGAAAAGCTAAACTGTTGTCAGATGATAACCGATGGGTTCCGAGACTGTTTCTTGACCAGTATGTTCTACCTCTCTACATGGAGTGTTAACCTGACGCTCAAACATAATTAATACAAGAGTTCTAAAGCTCAACTCGAGCCTGATGGGTTAGGGTTAGGGTAAAGCCCTGCAGGCCAGACCAGGTTTGGGTTGAAAATGTGTGCACATTTGCCAGGTCGGGTAGGGCTCGGGTTGTGGGTAAGAAAAAATGTGTGGATAATTAAATTAAAACATACATACAAACATACATTATAGATATTATATATATAGATTAAGTAAGGGTTAATGCCCTTCGAGGTGTCCATCATCAGGAATTAATGGACGACGCAGAGGCGTGAACGGTTGCTTCCACAAAGTCCATTCATTCCTGATAATGGACACCTCGAAGGGCATTAACCCGCTTATACCATGGTCTGGGTGAATACTCAATTCTGATTGGCTGCAGGGTGTCCGTTAAAAGGTGTTATAGACAGCTAAAAAGACGTTCCGGTCAAATTGCCTGATGACAGGTTCTAAATTATTGCGCTGGCTCAACTGCTAGTTTGTAATCATAGCAACGGAGAGCAGAGGCAACGGATTACAACAGGCATCGTGAGTGATTTTATCGTTTCATTTGGTGAATTTGATCATTTTGATGACTGGGATGCAGAAGAGAGGATAGAGAATGAAAAGGGAGAAACGGCACAAGGAGGTGACACTGGAAGAATTAAATAATTTAGAAGATGAGAAGGATGAGCCCAACACCAAGAAGACAACGAAATGGGCAGTTCACATGCCACTATGATGGACATACCCATATCACTTTCAAATTTCAGTATTAATGGTAATGTAGCATTTTAAATAGGAAACAATTGTTAATTTGTTAATGTGTTTATATGATTTATATGCTTATGAATTATTTGTTGCAATTAAAAACGACCAATGAATTGGTCTTCATAGCTTAGCGCCACTAAAGGGTGTAAGCTTCTTGTGAAGATTGATGCACTGTTAATCTTGCAGTCAAGTATTTTATACCTATAATGCGTGGTTGTGACCGTCACCCACCCTCCCTGGAGACTAGCCTAACAGCCTTTATTGGAAAAACTTCCTAATATGAGTCAGAGAGGGCCATGATACACCAAACTGTGTCAAGGGGAAAGTAAGGAAACAAGCAAGGGGGAGGGGGCAGGTGCTTAAGTCCTGAGTTATATAGTGACAGTGCATGCGGAGAAGAAGGAGGAAAAACAAACAAATAAACAAACAAACAAAAAAAAAAACAAAAAACAGGAGAAACAGGCAGTGTAGCTGATGTATTGTGGCCTTGAGGTGGTTGTGCTCCATGCAGATTATCAAAAATAAACATATACATGTCTACTATACTGCACTGAAAAACAAAAACAAAAGAGAAGTCTATACTGAACACCAAAAATGTGAGAGTCTTGGTGGAGGGGGAAAGCCCGAATGCAGAGAAGAGTTGCCAGCGCGGTGTGGTAGGTTAATTCCTGATCATGGACACCTTGTCAGGCATTAACCCTTACTTAACGGACACCCTGCACTCACTCAGAATTGAGTATTCACCCAGACCATGGTATAATTGATATTATCTTCAGTTTATTTCACTGTAGCCACAGTAGCTACCTCTCCTTCTCAGCAGGCAAGGAGAAAAACAAAGGGAGCAGCCAGGCTGCATGCCAGGCCGGAGCAGGGAGCCTCTCTGGTGGGGAAATACAGCGTGGAGAGCTGGTCCATTTTCCGCTGGAGACCTGTGCGGATCACTGGCCACATAGCCAGTGTGTTCTAAGCTGATTAGTGCTTCTTTTATTTTTATTTTTTTTTTTCATTTTATTGAGAACTCTAATCAGTACTATTCTGACTACAAAAGGAAATCAGAACACTTTTGATACTAACATCTTGTCGCGTTGCCTACAGATGCTGCATACATATGCGGATATTGGTTTATAGAGACAACGTTCACAGGTTTGAATTTTTTCAAAGTTGATGTTAATACAACACTCATATCCTATATGTTCTTTGAAAGAGTTCTGGGGAGAGCTAAGAAATTCTATGAGCAGACACAAGTCCAGTCTACAGAAAAACCACAGAGCACTGAATATAAATTGACTGTTAACTCAACTGGTGCTATACAAAACATTCCTATTTACAGAGTGTAAATCATCAAAGGTTGTTGAATTATAGAACAATATATAGACAAAATGAGCGCAAACTGATGCGGAATCTCTGATGGGGGGCAGGAGTTTCTTTCACTCTCCCCAGGCTCAATATCTCTGTTACATCCTGTTTCCACATATTTTCTTCACGTCCTTAGGGTACAGTTTGTTGTGCAGTCAATAACCTCTGCCTTCTCTGTACAATATATTCACCAACAAATATCAAAATGTGTGATGCTATAAAAGCATTTTCTTGCATATACAAACAGTAAAGAACTATTTCCATGTTTCCTATATACTCTGTAGTCCACAAACTGACAAGATTGGGTAGGCTCCTACATCGTTGTCCTACGCGTTCACTTCCAGACGCAGACGTGCAAAGGATGGTCCTGAGGCTGAAGCTGTTCTCTGCAGGTCAGTGTTTCTGCTCCCCAAAATGTCCTTGAAGGCATCACAGCCTGCTGTACTGTCACTTCATTATGAGTGCCCCAGAAATGAGCCCTAACACCCAGAAATTAGTTAGCATTTCAGCACTCCCGGTTCCCTTGTGTCAAAGTCAATGTTTTTTTTGAATGGTTTTTTTGTTAGATGTCTGAAATAAGGTCTGTGGTTAACACAAGCTGAAGCGACTTTCACATTTGTTCTATGACTCAAAATATGCTATAAGCTTTTATGTGTTTTAAAAAAGACTATTGCTAACATGGCTGAATGAGACTACAGACCGTCATCATCACGTCATTACAGCCTTGTTGTGGTAGTGACACTTTAGTTGTGCCACTGCAGTGTAGATCGTTTATAGCCTAATGTTAGCTCTTTACTTCTGGCAGTTGCATTTTGGTTATCATAAAAGCAGTGTTCATCTGTGCAGATTATCTTGTTGAACAAAACATGTAAGTGTCATAAAAGGCATGGAATAAGTCAAAACTATTGAACATTTTGGAAAAGTCATGAAATTTTTCTGTGTATAATTAAATTGTTAAAATAACCTGTGAATAACCATCCACATTATGTAGCATAACAGCAAATTCAGCTGTAGCTGTTGATGTTACGTAGTTCTAAAATATTTTTATGTGTACAAAAATTTTGTTTAACATCATGTACATTTCCTTATTTTCTCCCTGTTTTTGAGTCACCCTTCATTTATGCCATCTAGCTGAAACTATATTTGAAGCGGATATGTTAAAAAAAGCAAATGGGGCAAGAAAAAAAATCTTTATTATGGGTCCTTGAAAAGTCACGGAAAAGGCTGGAAATTTTGCCCAACAAAATGTATGGGGATACATAGCTTATTTTCTGCAATAATCCCAAATCCAATGGAAAACTCCCATTGGCTTTTTGACAAGGGAACCATGGTGACGTTAATTTATGTGTTGGCCTACAGAAAAACAGCACCCTCTGAGCACTCTATGGATGGTGTCAGTCTGAGTCACTTTCCTCCTCCCCCACCGCTGTATGTGTATGGGCGTCCTCTTTGTCACTGTCTTTGTCCCAGTCTTTCATGGTGGCTCCCATCATGAAGTCATCTGTGAGGACGCTCCAGGCGGGATTCTCCTCTGCTGCTGCAGCCTACACACACACACACACACACACACACACACTCAGTGCCAGCTTCTAGCTCTGCTTCACGTCTCATCAATGCTTTCATGAGGCAACAGTGACACCATGAGAGCACTGAGTGAAATCACAGTTTGTTGGAAGGAGACATGAAAAGGTGATGTATTAACTCATTCTGCAAAATAAAACAGCAACATTTGTTTTCTTTCTCACTGGTTTGGTGCACAACATAATTGAACACAGGATGCATTATAAGTTAGACCGCAGTTACACAGTGAAACAGCAGCAAAGGCCCAGAGCGGAGACTATTTAAGAAATCAAGCCCTATTGTTTTTGTGCTGGTTTATTTTTTCTTTATCTTTTCAGGGTTTCCCACACTCATTTATTTGTGGTGGGCCACCACGATTAAACATCCACCACCATATTCTGATTTTCTATTTTTGGAGCTGGACTGTTCATTAAGTGCACCGTAAGAATATATTTATCATTTGATTATAATTTGCCCTACACAGGGACGGATTGGGACACAAATTCAGCCCGGGACATTCAGGCGCACCGGCCCCCACACTGGCTCACACACCGGCCGTTTCTACCTACAATCCTCTATATACTTATACACACTACACAAACGCTGTCCTCAGAATCAACTGCATAAGAAAATCAGCAGTTATTGTTTAATTCCAGACTACAAAATAAATGCAATAATGAATTAGCCACAAATGGCTATGTGCTTATATTCAACTTAAAATAAGAGCACATGACTCTATCCTAATGTATCTAATTTTATGCACAATATAATTGTCTGCTGTGCACTGTCCAGCCCTGCTCTTGTATAACATAAGCCCAATTTATATCTCCATGGCTCACAGCCATGAACTAAGGAGGTATAAATGGGCAATGGGCCCTATAGTCAACGTTTAGTCAACTTATTGCAACAACAAAAAAAATCCCACTTAATACTACTAAAAAGGTTTTCCTCTGGCTAAAATGTAATGCATAGTAGGCTATGCCTTCACATTGCACCTGCCATATTTCTGGTCTCATCCTCCTCATCACGACTGGGGTTAGTCTGTCCCTCAGCTTCATTGTCCTTGGGACTGGGAGCACCACCTAACCTTAATCGCATGCATCCACAGGAAAAAAGCAAGCATATATTTTCTTTTAGTCCAGGTTTAAATTATACTGACTTAATGCAATACCTAGTAGGCTAGCTGGCCTCTTGAACCGGACACCTAGAAGAAATACGCAATTTGCCAAAGCCAACCTTGCACATTACAAACTCACTAACGTTAGCTAATGTTAATATAATGTTAAGACAGTGCTGTCCCAAAATTTACGGAAATGATTCCTCGGTCTTTAAATTTAATACCATGTCCTTCAGTAACAGAGGTTTCCGGTACCGACTTTAACCTCTCTTGAATTGATCATCTTGTCGATAGCGCCATAGGCTTGCTGCGAACAACACTCGACTCTGTAGCACTTCTTAAAAAGAATTTAACAAAGCAAAGAAAGTTCTCTCCTTGGTATAACTCCCAAACCCGTAAGTTAAAACAAATATCGCGAAAATCTGAATGGAATTGGCAATTGACCAAACTGGAAGAATCTAGTCTAATCTGGGCAGACAGTCTTAATACGTATAAGAGGGGCCTCCGCAATGCCAGAGCAAACTATTACTCATCTTTTAATAGAAGAAAATAAGAACAACCCCAGGTTTCTTTTCAGCACTGTAGCCAGGCTGACTGAGAGTCACAGCTCTATGGAGCCTTGTATTCCTTTAGCCCTTAGCAGCAAGTTTTTTCCACGCAACCCTTTCTTGTTTTACCGGCTTTATCCATGTTTTTTGCATAACGGTCAAACTAGCCTGGTCTGCCATGAGTAATGACTGATGACTGCGGCCGAGCCAATCAGATTTCAAGAAAAATGAGGGCCTCTTTCGTATTCAAAGAGGTCGCTCTTATCTCCACCTTCAAGCATCAAAACATAAGATTGACACGTACGTTCCCTATGAACATCTCACAGCAAACAAACAACATGGGAGGGACGCGCATTGCAGTACTGACAGCTGGCAACTAGCTTGACATTCACTCGTCTTTTTTAACCCCTATCTTTCTTTGACCACTGGGTCGGCCCCACTGGCCCACACCAGACCACTTGGTAACCGGCCCATCGGGATTCGTCCTGAACGTCTCGATGGCCAATCTGCCATTGGCTCTACAGATGGAGCAGCAGAACAGCAGGTGCAGTGAATGAGAAACTTAACCATTTGACACAGTAGATCATGCCATTTTTTGGTCTTTTTGCTTGTATTTATTTATATTGACATGTTGCATCTTGCATCTTGCATTTTTTGGTCCTCTTATTACCATAACTCTACCTTCGTTTTGTCTGGCTTATGTTTGGTAGGACTGTTTGGCTCTCTGTTGTTACATTGCCTTCTGGGTATCCCATTTGTGAGAATCCCTCAATTGTCACTTCCGGCGTTGCACTGCGGCAACGAGTGCCTGCAGTGCGTCTGAAATGTTTGTTTATAGTTCGTCTCTGCATTTTTCTCGTCACACAAACCCTGACCTACACATCGTTATCGTGTGGTCTGTGCTAAGTAAGGGGCGATCTAACAGAAGACGAGCAAGATAACAACGGTGCTTTTGTTCATCTTCTTGGCAATCTCCCTGTTGCTGCCGACTGCCATTCATTCACTGAATCTAGGAGGCTACGCACCAGGCAAGACCGCCGCCACAACAAATGGGATTGGGCAACTAAGAGACTTGCACAGCTGCAATTTCCCAGTCGATCTGCCTGAGGAGTGTAAAAGGAAAACTAAAACATCGAGGAGGAAAAGAGGCCGGCGCGGAGGAGTAGAGTACGCGCATGGGGGACCAAGCCACCTCTACCTACAGTCATTTTGGCCAACATCCGGAATTTGGACAAGTGTTTCTCACTGTTGTATATATTCATCCCCGCTCCAGGGTCGCGGCGAATAGGATATACGATACAGTGGCTAAACTAGAAAACATCGCCACTGATACGCCAAAGTTTATTCTTGGAGATTTCAATGGGTGCTCCATTAAAAGCGTACTGCCCAACTACCATCAATATGTCAAGTGCCCGACAAGGAGGGAGAATACACTTGACCTATGTTTTGGAAACATGAAACACGCTTACAAGGGCTACCCAAAACTACCGCTCGGGGACTCGGACCACAACGTAATCCAGCTCGCCCCACAGTATTAGAAGCTCAAGTCCAGCAAACTGGATATAACGACAATCAAAAAATGGAGTGATGAGTCTGTTGAATGCCTTAAAGGCTGTTTTGACTATACTATGTGGGACACTTTCTTAGACCCCAGTGAGAAATTAAGTTCAGTGGTGACTGACTACATTCGGTTATTTGTGGACTGCGTAATTCCAGATAAAACCTTTAAGGTATTTCAAATGACAAACCTTGGGTCAATAAAGAATTAAAATTAGCACTGAAAAGGAAAAAGAGGGCTTTTGAACAGGTGGACATGTTTAAAATGAAAGCTATTTAAAAGAGTAAGACAGATAAATGATTAAACAGAAATACAAACGAAAATGAGGGGAAATGATTTCAAGCATGCAAGGCAGACGATGTATACAATGATAGGAAAGGAAGAGAAGAAGAAACATAAGTACAAATGGGGATGATCAATCCTTTGCAAATGATTAAATTAAATGTATTTTATGCAAGATTTGATACAACAGACTTCTCCTTAGAGCGTAATGTCATTAGACAGAAACTACAACATGGCACTCCCCCAATTGTAACAGCTGATGAGGTGCGTAGAATTTTTAATAAAATTGACTCCAAAAAAGCAGCTGGCCCTGATCAAATAAGAGGAAGGGTTCTGAAGGAGTGTAGCGAACAACTGAGCCCTATTTTTGGGCAGCTTTTTCAAAAGTCCCTAGACACACACTACATTCCTAAGGCCTAGAAATCCTCACTTATAGTACCAGTGCCAAAAGTGGCAAAACCATCTGTTTTAAATGATTATTGTCCAGTAGCCCTTACATCAATTATAATGAAGAGTCTAGAGAGGATTGTTCTGAAACATGTTCTGAGTGATGTGCAATTTAATATTGACCCCTTACAATTCACCTGTTGAAATAAGCGGAGCACAGATGACGCCCCACTGTACATGCTCCATAATGTCTACTACCACTTGGACAAGCCTAAACGATATGCTCAGGTTCCATTTATAGATTTTTCCTCCGCGTTTAACACTATCAGGCCCAACATTATGATGGAAAGACTGTTGCATTTAGGTGTAAATGCAAACATGATCAGATGGGTCCTTCCATACTGAGAGAGCGCAGTGTGTTAGGGTAGAGACAGAGCTTCATTTAGCTCTATCCTCCCCTATTATAACTAATACTGGAGCCAAACAGGGGAGCATAATCTCACCAGTATTATTTACCCTCTACACAAACAAGTGCAAAAGCAACACACCTGAGAATGTCACAATCAAATTTGCTGATGATACAGCAATAGTGGGATTAATACTGGATAATGATGAGACCCACTATAGGGCCTGGGCAGACCAGTTTGCAGAATGGTGTAGGTCCAGCTGTCTTCTTTTAAACACAAAGAAGACAAAGGAAATTAAAGCTGCCATGAGCGATGAACGGGCCCTCGCACCTTCACGCAGCTCGGGGGTGCTGGCAGGACGCAGGCTAACGCATCAGTTGTGATGTTCCTATACATGAAATATAGACCACAGCATGTGAATGTCAAGTAAATCAAAAAATAAGTGTCTGAAAAGATGTACTTCCTGTCACCCCTAGGTGGCGCTGTACTCGTCACTAAATACTGACATACAGACCTGTTCAGGGTGGGACTGCCATCCATCCTGTGAAGTCTGGGGAAGATTGGACCATGAATGCTGGAGTTACAAACCACTTCCTGTTTTTGGCGACACATGGAAGTTAAATGCCTTGCCACGGTCACACAGTTTCATGAAATCTCAAGCTTCAAATAAGGTTTCTTCTTCAAG